AAAAAAAACAGGGCTACAAATTTATTGAGTAACAAAGACGACGAAATTGAAGGAATTAAAAACAGTAATCTCATAAATATACATACATAATTACATATATATACCTTCAATTGATGAATTGTGTGTAAAAGCTTCAGCAAGAAAGCTCCTATGGCGTTTAGGGTTTTGGGGACTTTGGGAGGTCGATAATTATCGAAGAAATTTTCCAATCCTTTTGTTCTTCCTTTCTTTTAAGGACAGATTCCTAATTCCTATTCCTACTCCACTTCTACTTCTTGCGGTTCTTTATATTCGGACCGGCCCAACGGGTCAATCCAGGCCCGGTCCAAATTGGTCCGAGGTTAACAAGCAACTACGGATGGTATTGTCGAGAAGGGGCTGTGTGTGCGGCCTGGGCCATGGTTGAGGCTGAAGGAATGCTAAGTGGCCAGGCTATTGGCCGGAGGTCGCTCGCCAGTCGGAACTCCGGCTAGAAAGTGCTGCGTGCAGTGCTCCGAGGTCTTCGGTGGATGCAACTGTGTGTTGGCGGGTTTTGGCCGGAGAAACGCGCAAGACCAACCTCTAGATATCGGCGACGTGGGCTGGCCGGTTGTCAAAAGAACGGCGAAGAACTAACCTCAACTGAACGTGGACGGACGATTTTGGTCGTGCTCCTCACCGGACTGCTTGGATTTGGCCGGAGAAGGTGATGCTTGGAGGTGGAAGAAGACGTGACGATTCAGGGCAGTTTTCACCTAATTTTGGGTAAGTAATTTCATTTTGGTGGTCCAAGAACTCATTTTTATTGGGCTAGAAACAGCTCTTAAGTGACGCTGGCTTCTTTGGCGGCTAAGAGTCCAGATGATCTTCACAAGGTAGAGTATCCTCCTTTGAGGGCGGGCTTATGGTTAAATCATGGTATGATCGACGTGTTCTATCTTCGAAAAGTTCTTAAATAGTTTGGTGCGTAGCTTGCATTTCTTTCTTCTACCCAAAAAAAATAATAATAATATTTTTACACATAGGCCTACACTTACTCATGGAACGGCAAGATTTCAATGTAATCATACCTTTTTTATTTAAATAAATTTGCATATTTTGATATTTAAATGTCATATTTTAAAATATAACATCAATAAAATTGTGATTTAGATCGCCCAACAGCAAAACTTGTAATTTAAAAAAAAAAAAGGGAAAAAAAAAGCATGAGATGCAAATATATTCGAGTCCTAGAAAATTTGGTTAGTCTTGTATAGTTTGTGATTGTTTTCTGGGAACCCAAATTTGCAGCAGTGAGATTAGAAAATTAGCTATTTTCATGTAAACACCTTATTGTTGAGCATTTAATCAATTGATATGTCTATTTCTGAACCATATATGTATTCGTTATCTGTGACTTTTGATCCTTTCTTTTTTGCTCCAGTCTCTTTCTTTTGTTTCTGAGCTATTTTTGGTTCTCTTGAGTTTCATCTCTAATCTACAACAACTTATTTGGAACTAAAAGGGTTATGTTGTTATTGTATATGTATTCGTTATCCTTTGTTATGTGTCCATAGTCTATCACTGAGATGCATTGAGACGGGTCTAATTGTTGAGTCGATATATTTTTCGAACAAACACACATATTTTTTTATAACACTATTCTTACTTAGAAACATATATATATAACGAGATTCTATTCTTTTTGTAGAATATTTAATTTAATGGTTAGATATTAAACTTGTTAACAAGAATATGATGGTCTAAATATCAAACAATATAACAATTAATTTAAGGAACAATGTAAGCTAACTATATACATTTACACATTTACGGAACGATAGTTTCTTTTTTACACCGACTTTAAAAATTAAAAAACCTGGTTAAATGAGTAGATCTCCGGGTTCACGGTTCAATCGATATTCCAAGTGACTTAATACAATGTATGTTAATTAATCCTATAATAAATATATTAAAAAACCATATTATCATAAATGCTAAATTTGTACATTTCAACTTTTATTAATCATTTATAATTTTGACAAATTTCTCAATGACCCCATACTATTTTTCAAATTTTGCATGAAACCCCCATGGTTTCAACCACCTCAATCTCCTTATGGTAATAATAAGACTACTTTCTATGCAGTTTTAACGGTTAAGTAATCATATATTCTTAAAAGATATGTATATATTTGTAAATTGTAGTAACTAGTCGTGTATTACACGGGTGCTTGCTAATATTTTCTTAAAATCTAAAATTAATGAGAAAAAATAGTTGAAAATTTAAATACCTTATATATATATATATATATATATATTATATTTATAATTTATTTATTCCATTATACAATATGGACATCAAATCGAAAATCATCAACAAATGATTAATTTGATATATTATATATGTAAAACCGATAAGAAATACAATAGTTATTAACTTTTAAAATACATTTACAATTCAATAACTAAGAGCATCTCCAATGCTGCGCTACTCTAGTGTATTACGCTAGAGTAGAGACAAAATTGCCCTCTAATGTTGTGCTACATCTCTGCACTACTCTACAATTTTTGTTTGTTTTTTATTTTTTTTTGTTTTATGTAATTGATTTATCTTAAAATTCATTATTTGACAAAGTTTTTACCATTAAATTTATAATTTAATTTGAGAATTATATAAAAATATTATTATAAAAAGATATTTTATATTGAATTACTCTAAAATAAATAAAATATTATAAAAAAATAATAATTATTTGTGGAACAATACTTTGAAGACCAACTAATATCACGATATATTTTATTTTATAAAATAATATGTCCAATTAAATAATATTTTGATATATTAAATAAATTAAAATAATATGAATAATATATGTGAAGTAGAATGCAGCGGGAACAGTTGGAGACCAAATTTGATTTTTGGTTAACTCTACTCTAAAGTAGAGTAATTTATGCACTAGAGTAGAGATAAGGACTGGAGATGGCGAATTGTAGGAAGCAAATCAAAAGTCGGGGATATATTAGTCACTTAGTGTCTCACTATATAAAATTACAAAGAATAGTACAAGTGATATTAAAATACCTAAGTTAATTAAATAATATTTATGGAATGTCCGAACTTAGATTATTAATTATTAATATATCAATATTATTTGTCCAAACTTAATTACGAAGCATGATTCTTCGCCAAGTAGAATTTCGAAACATCAGAAACAGAGCCACATAGGCTCAGCGCATTCTGAAATTATATATATGGGGATATATAGGGGGATTAGTACTTAAAGCACTACTAATCTTCATAATTTTTCGTAATATTAATCTCTATTATGTCTAACTACCCAATCTCTAATTACAATTAACAAGAGGGTTATAGTTATGGAAAATGTTACGGTCTAGTTACAGAACCATTCCGTCGGAATTTGTAACCGTTAGATCATCATGTAACCGTCGGAGATAGATGATCTAACGGTTACAAACCCCGACGAAATGGTTCCGTAACGGGAGCGTAGCATTTCCCATAATAATTAGGGCTCCAACAATATGAAATATTTGTCTTTGCAGCTAATTAATCATTTAATTTTAGGTCCCTACATTAATTGGAAATTCGATACATGATTCTTTTCATACGTAGCTCTATCGCCTCACGTAAAACGGATTAAGATTTAAAAGTGCCTTTCAGTAGCATTGACTATGAACAAACGCCGTGCTAATACAGTCGCTAATCACAATTATCGGACTAAAGAATATATTAATTAATTATGTGCAAAAAAAGTGAGGATTGCGACGTCAGACGGTGAGACTCGATCAACTCTCTTCAAACTTTAATTAATTCTTAATTAATGCCACAGTTTGATTTGATGATTCCCGAATTCACTTTTTCTAAAAGTTTTCAACTTAACTTACGGATAATTTAAATTAATTAATCGGGTAACCTAAGAAGGCAATAATCAAGTTCGAGCTCGGCTCGTTTATTAATATTAACTAGTATTCTCTCCTATTTTTTTTTTTTAAATGTCAATCGAGTTTTATCAACTATTAACTAAATAAATGTCGTTTTGGATCTTTTGTACATAATTTTCCATTATTACTTTCATTTAACTAATAAATACATTATGTTATTTTATATTCACTCTTCACTTTTTCTCAAAACATTCATCTCTGTCTTCATTAAATAAAGTTGTTATTGACAAAAAAAATATTTTTAATTAATGTGCAACTTCTCAAAACGACATATATTAAAAATAAGAGGTAATAGAAATTTAAGTGTATAAAAAAAATTATGTAAGAAATTCTTATTTTTCGAGTTTTAATGAACCGAGTCAAACCTAACTCGTTAAGTGATAAACGAGCTCAAATTCGACTTATTTATCATACGATTCGAGTCGAGCTCGAGTCAAGTCGAGTTCTCGTTTCGTTTAACAACTCTAATCAGGTCATATTTTTTCATGAAAATGGGGAGAAAATTAAAGACATGTTGAAGGCATGTGAGATTCTTGTAGGACGTGGTCAAGGAAGCTTTGACTGATGATTTTATGGTCAAATAAATTATAAACCAGGCCATGACTGTCTATTTGTATTTAGGAGGCTTTTTGGACTGTTGCTTACTCACTGTTTTGACTCTAATTCCCCCTTAATTTTGTGAATAATGGTCTTGAAATTAATTATAGAAAAAAAGACCAATTGCCGACTGATACTTTTTAAATGCAAATAATAATATTTCTGTTAAAACTAGTAATATAAAAAA